GGAAAAGTTATTGAAGGAAATTAAAAGTGATACTCCCGTAAACACATAAATGATAAGATAGCCAAGCAGTCATATTGTTATATGTAGAAAGTTTGCACGGTCTGCATAGAAGATCAAACCAACCACAACATTCCCTTAAGCCAAAGCCTAATACAGAGCAAGACCCTAACTCTCATCAATTCTATGAAGGCTAGGAGATGTGAGAAGGTGCAGAAGAAAAGTTTGAAGCTAGCAGAAGTTGGTTCATGAGGGAACCCATCAGAAAGGAAGCCATCGCCATAACATAAAAGTGCAAGGTGAAGCAGTAGGTGCCGATGGAGAAGCTGCAGCACATTATCAAGGAGATCTAACTAAGATCATTGTTGAATGTGGCTACACTAAACAACAGGTTTTCAATGTAGGTGAAACAACCTTCTATTAAAAGAAGATGCCATCTAGGACTTTCATAGCTAGAGAGGAGAAGTCAATGCCTGGCTTCACCGCTTCAAAATACAGGCTGACTTTCTTGTTAGGAGCTAAAGCAGCTGGTGACATTAAGTTGAAGCCAGTGCTCATTGACCATTCTGAAAATCCTAGGGCCCTTAAAAAGAAATCATGCTAAATCTATCCTGCCTATGTTCTATAAATGAAACAACAAAACCTACATAACAGCGTATGTTTACAGCATGGTTTACTATTTCAAGCCCACTGTTAAGAGCTGCTGCTCAGAAAAAAGAAAAAGATTCCTTTCAAAATATTATTTATCATTGACAATGCACATGGTTAGCCTAGAGCTCTGATAGAGATGTACAAGGAGATTAATGTTGTTTCCATGCCTGCTAATAATTCATTCTGCAGTACATGGATCAAAGGGTAATTTTGACTTTCAAGTCTCGTTATTTAAGAACTATATTTCAGAAGGCTATATATATTCAACTGCCATAGTGATTCCTCTGATGGATCTGGGCAAAGTAAATTGAAAACCTTCTGTAAAGAAATCACCATTCTAGATGCCATTAAGAACATTTGTGGAGGAGGTCGAAATTTCAACATTAACAGGAGTTTGGAAGAAGTTGATTCCAACCCTCATGAACAACTTTGAGGGGTTCAACACTTCAGTGGAGGAAGTAACTGCAAATGTGGTAGAAACAGCAAGAGAACTAAAATTAGAAGGGGAGCCTGAAGATATGACTAAATTGCTACAATCTCATGATCAAACTTGATGAGGTGGTGCTTCTTATGGACGAGCAAAGAAAGTGGTTTCTTGAGATAGAATCTATTTGTTGTGAAGACGCTGTGAACACTAATGAAATGACAACTAAGCATTTAATATTTCATAAACTTAGATGATAAAGCAATGACAGGGTTTGAAAAGACTGACTGCAATTTTGAAAGAAGTTCTACTGTGGGTAAAATGCTATCAAACAGAATCCCATGCTACAGAGAACTCTTTCATGAAAGGACGAGTCCATCGATGTGGCAAACTTCACTGATGTCATATTTTAAGAATTTTCCCTAACCCCTCCAACCTTCAGCAAACACCACTCTGATAATTTAGGAAATATCAACGCTGAGACAAAACTCTCCACTAACAAAAAAATTATAACTTCCTGAAGGCTCACATGATCATTAGCATTTTTTTATCAATAAAATATTTTTTTTGAGATGGAGTCTCACTCTGTCGCCCAGGCTGGAGTGAAGTGGCAGAATCTCAGCTCACTGCAACCTCCACCTCCCAAGTTCAAGCGATTCTCCTGTCTTAGCCTCCTAAGTAGCTGGGATTACAGGCATGTAAAAAAAAATACCTGGCAAATTTTTGTATTTTTAGTAGAGACAGGATTTGCCATGTTGGCCAGGCTGGTCTTGAACTCCTGACCTCAAGTGATCCACCCACCTCCGCCTCCCAAAGTGCTGGAATTACAGGCGTGAGCCACCATGCCTGGCCAATAAAGTATTCTTTAATTAAGGAATGTACATTGCTTTTTTAGACATAATGCTATTGCACTCTTAATAGACTACAGTGGAGTGTAAATAAAACTTTTATATTCACTTGGAAACCAAAAACTTCATTTGACTAACTTCATTGCAATATTCACTTCATTGTAGTGGTTTGGATCCAAATACACAGTATTTCTAAGGTAAGCATGTATCTGATAAGAATCTAATATCCAGAATATATAAAGAACTGTTGCAACTCAACAATGAAAAGACAAGTAACTGATTTTTTTAAATAAGCAAAGGATTTAAATAGACATAATCCCAAAGAAGACATTCAAATAGCCAATAAGCAAGATGAAAAGATGACCAACCTCATTAGTCGTTAGAGGAATAAGGAGTGACTGTTACTGGGGATGAGTTTTTTAAAAGGGAGTAATAAAAATGTTCTTGAGCTAGACAGTGGTGATGGCTACAAAACCTTGTGAATATATTAAAATCCACTGAACTGCATACTTTAACATGGTGAATTTTATGTTATATAAATTATGTCTCAATGAAAAGAAAAATAACCCAATATAAAAACAGGCTAAGGATCTGGATAGACATTTCTTTTAATGAAGACATACAAACTTCCAGAATGTAATGAAAGATGCTGTATTAGTCCATTTTCACACTACTATAAAGATACTACCTGAGACTGGATAATTTATAAACAAAGGATGTTTAATTGACTCATAGTTCTGCATGGCTGGGGAGGCCTCAGGAAACTTACAATCATGGTGGAAGGCAAAGGAAAGGCAAGTACTTCCTTCACAAGGTGGCAGGAAAAAGAGCAAAAGAGAAGGGGGAAGAGCCCTTATAAAACCATCAGATCTCATGAGAACAGCATGGGGGAACCACCCCCATGATCCAATCACCACCTACCTGGTCCCTCCCTCAGCATGTGGGGTTGACAATTCAAGATGAGATTTGGGTAGGGACACAGAGCCAAACCATATCAGATGCTCAATATCATTATTCCTGAGGAAAATGTATATCAATCTCACCATGAGAAACCACTTCATATCCACTAATATGTCTATAATCAAAAAGACTGAAAATAACAAATGTTTGGTGAGGGTGTGGAGAAAGTGAAACGCTCATAAACTGATAGTGGGAAAATAAATTGGTGCAGTGACTTTGTTTCGTTTTGTTATTGTTGTTTGTTTTTGTCTGAGACGGAGTCTTGCTCCATCAAGCAAAGCCAAGATGGGGGGATCATTTGAGGTCAGGAGTTTGAGACCAGCCTGGCCAACATGGTGAAACCCCATCACTACAAAAATTAGCTGGTCTATGGTGGTGTATGCCTGTAATACCAGGTATTCTGGAGGTGGAAGCAGGAGAATCACTTAAACTTGGGAGGCAGAGATTGCAGTGAGCCGAGATAGTGCCATTATACTCCAGCCTGGGCAATAGAGCAAGACTCTGTCTAAACAAAAAAAAAAAAAAAGAAAGAAAAGCAAAAAAAAATGGTAACTTTCTATTACTTAAGCTGAGTGGTAGGTACACAGGTGCTCATTTTATTGTGATCCTTTAAATTTGCATTTACATTATTGTTTCCGTGGATAAAATGCATGCCTTAATAAAAACATTTTTTAGAAGTCTGACAGACCCGGATTCTGGCTCAACCACTTAAGAGCTATGAGTTCTTGGGCACATTACTTAACCTAAGGCTTCCAATGTCTTATCTGTAAAGCAGAGATGGCAATAATAACTCCCTCATAGGTTTTTACATCATGTGCCTGGCACATTGTCAGTGCTATTATTAGCTAATGTTAGCTATAGGCAGTTGAGCCACTTGCCTAAAAATTCCAGGTTCATGACCTCTCTTTCTTTAAACTCCGATTTCCATATTTGCTACTCCATAAGAGTTCAAAGCTTTGGTCAGAGGAATAAAATTGACCTTCAAGCAGGACTGACTATGTTCAACCTTTAAAATGTCCTTATATAACATCTTTGTAAAGCCAATAAAACACCTTAATAAACCAGGACGAGAACCAAAATGTCTGTCATTTCTGGGGGTTGGTGTCAACTAATGTTCTAGCCTAGCTCTGGGAGTTGAAATATAGGCCAGATTAAGAGAATATTCTTTTCAGTCCTGAACAGCTTCCAGAATCCAGGTCCATTCTGCATCTTAGCCTTCAAGTTAAGTCAAGAGTCTCGATGTTGGACTTGCTTTTGTCCCACATGGATTTCTAGCATATGACTCCTAAAGTAAAATTCTGTCTTCAAGCCTATCCATCCTACAGTTTCCTGGCCCAGATGAATGTGTCAGTGAATGTGTCAGGGGTGGGTAACCAGAAGCTAAAGGTGAGTAGGAGAGGTGTGACACTTATCCAGGTCCCTTGCAAGAACTCATATTCTTAAAGAAGACACTATTCTATTGTTCATCATGAATCAGAAAGAACTTATATTCATGTACAATTGTCATCAGAGCCCTTTGCTTAAAGTATCCATCACACAGCTCACACCTGCTTTGTAGCTACATCATTGCCAGAAACTTTCTCTACCCAGACAAGAGAAGGCAGAAAGAGATAAACCTATGCAATTTAGCTATTTATCAGCAACTCAGATAAAACATTCATTGGGGCAGGAGAAAGCTAAACAATTGGCTTTAAATAGAATTTTGCTCCCGGAAAGCCCTCCCTGACCCTTTCTTCACATCCCACTAAGGTGATATCATGTTAATCTTGTCTCATAGCACCTTTTCAATTTACTCCTTCATAATATGACATGTCTACAATGTTTAATTTAATATTTGCATTCCCCTCAAGATTCTATGCTCCATGAGGGGAGGGACCGCCTCCTCCTCGTTCATTCCTGTATCCCCATCAACTGGTACAGGGCGTTGTATATAGTACGTGCTCAAGAAATTATTTGTTGGATTAATGCACAATCAATCCGTGGAACAATGAATCAATTCCTGGCATCATGAACAGAGATAATCAAGAATCCAACTGAAGACCTTGGATTTCCAAATGAGGAAGTCCTAAGAAAGGATCACACTGCAAAACTGCCTGGTTGGGGGAATGTTAACTATTTACCTGTGCTGAGTGAGCACATTCACAGCTGAAGGATGGTTTGCACAGTAAGCCAGATACATAGATTTAAAATGAGGCATGAGACTCAGTAGACAACCTCCTACTTTGTGCTGGTTTTCTGGAAACCTGTAAACAAAATGGGCAAAACACAGAATGTAAAACAGGAAACAAGAGGCAAAGGAAGATGATTCCAATTAAATCTGGCAACGTGAAAGTCTTCTGAATATTTTGCCAAGGTTGCAAAAAAAACTATATTATAACCATTTTACCCATGAAATTCAAATTTTTGCCCACTGCTTTAAACTCTAGCCACCAAACATATCTCTAATACATATGGTCAGATACTTACTTGGAATTATTAGGTAGGGTCGTTCGTTTGTTTTTAATATGATTATTTTCAAATTTAGCTGGGTACATTAAAATACGTTTGGTTAATTTGTCTAAAGTTTGAGTACAGACAAAGCTAATCAAATCCAAAAATGACATACCACAAAAGAACATTATGTAATCTTGGTGGCCTGGTGTTTGCTAGGCAGGGTGCCCTCAAAAGTTTTTAAATTAATGTTTTAAATTATAAGCCATCTGTCTTCATTTGTAGAAAAATCAGAAAAGCATAGTAAGAAAAAAGAATTTCTCAGACTCCCACCATTTGGAAATATTGACTCTATCAATGTTGGCATATTTCTTGGGCTTTTTCTACATGTTTCTCTATAAAATGGGAAACATAAGGATTATGAATCCAGTTTGTAATCTGCCCTTCTCCCTTAGTGAACATCTTTTCATATCAATAATTTAGATCCCTCTTGGCCCCGCAAGTCCCTTTAGCATGGACCCTCTCCATCTTTCTCCCTGGAACCACCTGTGTCCCATTAAGCTCAAATAACAGGTAATCACCTACATTTCCCCATAGGGAAATGCTGCCAACTTCGTCAAGACGTGCTGCTTGAAAAATTAGTCTTTCCATAGAAACATATTGCCTGATGATCATTATAGTTCACCCTGTAGTATGAAGTTGAACATCTGGACAATCTAGCTAGCCTTCAAAAATGTGTTGGTTCACATAAAGATGTATTTTTCCTTCTCCCAATTTCTATGTGCTTCAACTCAATATAATAGACATAGTATCAGGAGCAATTCAAAGAGAACAAATCTGTGAAAATGAATGAATCATCTGAATGATTTTCCCAAGTAATTTGCAATGTACAAAAGAAAATATGTAATTAGTGCCAGAGGTGTCATTCATGGTCAATTAAGACCTTGTATGTCTCCAGGGAAGGGAACATCACACACAGGCACCTGTCAGGGGGTGGGGGGAATGGGGAAAGAGAATTAGGACAAATACCTAATGCATGTGGAGCTTAAAACCTGGAAGACAGATTGAGAGGTTCAGCAAATCACCATGACACGTTATACCTATGTATCAAATCTGCATGTGCAGCACATGTATCCCAGAACTTAAATTTTTTTAAAAGACCTTATGTGTCTCTCATACTGACCAGAAACAGCAAACTGATGTATTTTTTAAATGAAGTCAAAAGCAATTTACTAGATATAGAATTGTAATATACAACTGGTGGTTTGACACTGGGAATACTGCCACCTAGTACATTGTCTGTGTATTGCTACTTTGTTCTCGGACAATGTATCAAAGCTGTAACAAATATATAACTATGAAGTGTCCTTATCTAAGGCAACAGGTAAAAGCGAAACAAACACAAACAGCAATGTTGCTGGCTATCCTATCAGAAATATGCGGAGCTTACTTTGAACATTCTTCCAAGGCTTGGCAGAGTGTCTGTTGAAATGTGCATACTTCCTCGAAGTTTCCCAGTAAAGACATAACCTCCACAGTGCTCAGACTGAAAAAAATATATAGTATATGTAGTTATCTATTCCAGTCTAGTTGGCTGATAGCTTGCTAATATATGGTAAATACAAGGGAAGTATTTTAACTTTTGCTTTTTAATTTATAACAACTCTATTGTCTTAGGCAACTTCTGAAGCTTCTTCCCTTGATTTTCTTTTATATAATAAGAATAATGATCCTAAAGAAAAGGAGTTGTCATAAGGGACATTTAGGTATTTTATAAAACAATGAGTAAATTAAAACAAGTGTTTAATACTGAAGTATATAAACAGATAAAAATAATCATAGCTGTGAATAAGTGTTAAAAAAAACTCTTGAGTACCTTCTGCAGGATGAACTGGAAAAGTAATTGAAAGATCTTATATATGCTGATATAATGCACAAGAAAAAATAGCAAAATCAACTTTCTCCTAAACTAAAATGCTCATACATCAATTAAAGAAAATCTTTATGAGATGAAGTAGGAGGGAAAAAAATAGTATTGTTTGTCTTTGGAATGGACTGGAGTCGAATAAAGGCAAAGTGAACCACTTTATCCAGGGCCTCTGTATGAAGAATGTTCTTATCCATTCCTCCCCTACCAAACAGTAAGTGATAATAAAAACAAGAGCCAACCCTGATAGAGTGCTGAACACTTACACAAGCGTTTTACAATTAAAACCTCATTTTAGCCTTATTATAACTCTATAAGGTAGGTATCATGCCAGTGCTGTTTCCATTTGACAGGCGGAGAAACCTAGGCGTAGAGAGGTTAAGCAAATCATTCAAAGCTACAAAGCCAGGAAACGGCAAAAACAGAAACTGAACCAAAACATTCTAGTTCCAAAGTCCATGCTCTTAACCACTTTTTGGGAGAAAATATTTCGGAAGATTTGTTTCAAAAGCCAATGTCGGGACAGGGGTGGTGGGTCAGGCCTGTAATTCCAGCACTTTGGGAGGCCGAGGTGGGCAAATCACTTGAAGTCAGGAGTTCAAAACCAGCCTGGCCAACGTGGTGAAACCTCGTCTGTATTAAAAATACAAAAAAATTAGCCGAGTGTGGTGGCACATGCCTGTAATCCCAGCTACTTGGGAGGCTGAGGCAGGAGAATTGCTTGAACCCGGGAGGTGGAGGTTGCAGTGAGCTGAGATCACACCACTGCACTCCAGGCTGGGTGACAGAATAAGACTCTGTCTCAAAAAAGAAAAACAAACCGTAAAAAACAAACCAGTGTCTGCCACATGTTCTTTCTCCTTAAGAATATAGTAATATCAGGCTGAGTGTAGTGCCTCATGCCTGTAATCCCAGCACTTTGGGAGGCCAAGGTGGGCGGATCATTTGACATCAGGAATTCAAGACTAGCCTGGCCAACACGGTGAAACTCCATCTCTACTAAAAATACAAAATTAGCTGGGCATGGTGGCACGTGCCTGTAGTCCCAGCTGCTCAGGAGGCTGAGGCAGGAGAATCGCTTGAACCCGGGAAGCAGAGGTTGCAGTGAGCCAAGATCTTTGTGTGTGTATGTGTGTGTGTGTGTGTGTGTGTGTGTGTGTGTGTGAAATACCAGGGAGTATTCCCAAGAGAATATTTTTTTTTTTGCTGACTGCAAAAGAAAGGGAAGAAGACCCAAATAAGCATTACCAGTAACTCTGAGAGAATAAAAAGCTGCCAGTTCCTCTGCTGTAGTGACATCCTGAATCACAAGCTGGAAAACCCCCTATTCTAAAGTGAAACTTTTGGCCCCCAACTTCCCTGGTTGTTGCTCTCTCAGAGCAGTAAGAACTTAAGTTGGGGCCTTACCTGAACCTGACTGGGGGCTTATCTGGCCCTTTCATGATCAGCTAATAGTCAGGCTGGTTTGCTGAAATCACTTTGGGGCTGACAAGGCAGTCAAAAGTAATGGAAACTTACTACCATTGCATTCTGAATTCATTTAGGAACAGTACAGGTCTGACTCAGGTCTCTCACCTCTTCAGCCCTGAGTCTTTTCCAAGGAACTTAAACACACCAGTAAGAAAAAAAAGCAAATAATCCCATCAAAAAGTAGACAAATGACATGAACACACTTCTCAAAAGAAGACTTAAAAATGGCCAACCAATATATGAAGAAATGCTCGGTATCTCTAATCATCAATGCAAATTAAAACCATGAGATACCACCTCTGCCCAGCCAGAATAGCCATTATTAAAAAGTCAAAAATAATAGATGTTGGCAGGGATGTGGTGAAAAGGGAACACTTACACACTGCTGGTGGGAATGTAAATTAGTACAGCCTCTAATAGAAACACTACAGAGATTTCTCAAAGCTAAAGGTAGATCTACCATTCCATCCAGCAATCTCACCACTGGGTATCTACCTAAAGGAAAATGACTCACTAAATCTTCTTATTGTTTCTTGATTGCTAATCAGTCCCTCCTTCATTTAAAATGTTACCATTTCCCCTCCCAGAGTCACCACTTCAGTTTCCATCTTCTCTGCCTATCACCTCCATGAAACAAACAGTATGTTTCACTTGCCAGCAGGAGGCAGAGTGGCTCCAGCCTGGTCACTTACTGGCTGTGTGATGGGCAAGGCAGTAAACCTGTCTGGACTTCAGCTTCTTCTCTATTCAATAGAGATAGTCATTTCTCCCAGGACACTAGACCCAATGATTTACTGATTTACTTCAGCTCTAAGAACTATGATTCACAGAACACTTCATATTTCACATGATAGAAACAAAAAATACTTTGTTTTTTGTTTTGTTTTGTTTGAGATGGAGTCTTACTCTATCCCCCAGGCTGGAGTGCAGTAGCAATCTTGGTGCACTGCAGCCTCCACCTACCAAGTTCAAGCAATTCTCCTGCCTCAGACTCCTGAGTAGCTGGGACTACAGGTGTGTACCACCACACCCAGCTAATTTTGTGTTTTTAGTACAGACAGGGTTTAGCCATGCTGCCCAGGTTGATCTCGAACTCCTGGCCTCAAGTGATCTATCCACCTTGGCCTCCCAAAGTGCTGGGATTACAGGAGTGAGTCAAAGTGCCCAGCCAGCCACAGCACCTGCCCCAAAAAACACTTTGTTGTCGATCATTTTTAAACTGTTATAACAAAGGAACAGAAAATCTTTTTGTACTGAAGTGGATTTCTCTAGTGCAAGGAAAATAACCAAGTGGGAAATTTAGCAAGAAAAAAGACTTTATAACTAAACAAGCATAAATTGGAAAAGGGAAGATATTTTCTCACAATTTTTTTTTCTTTTTCTTTTGTTTGTTTGGATTTTTTATTTGTTTGTTTGTTTGTTTTCACATGGAGTCTCGCTGAATCTCCCAAGCTGGAGTGCAGTGGTGTGATCCTGGCTCACTGCAACCTCCGCCTCCCAGGCTCAAGCGATTCTCTTGCCTTATCCTCCCAAGTAGCTAGGATTACAGGCTTGCACCACCACACCTGGCTAATTTTCTTTTGTAGTTTCAGTAGAAACGAGGTTTCACCATGTTGGCCAGGCTGGTCTTGGACTCCTGACCTCTAGTGATCCACCCGCCTCAGCCTCCCAAAGTGCTGGGATTACAGGCTTTTGAGCCATGGCATCTGGCCAAATTTCTCAACTATATTAACTTATTTAAGTTTGAAGTTGATAGCTTAGGCAACTGTTTAGTAATAGTAAACTCTTCCCAAGGTAAAAAGAGATGTTTCGTTATCCATTATATGGACTGACTGCTAAATTTTCTATTTGATCATGATCTCCTGTGAAAATTAATTAATTAAAATGAGAACAAATAAATGCAGTTTGCCACTATTTGTTAAATACGCTGTGCTTACAGGCATAAAAAAATGGTCACTACTTTTCTTTCATGAAAACTAAAGCTTTCAATTCAGGCTTTACACAATCACTTCAGATTTCTAAGACCAGAGTAAGATTCGAACATTTTGTCTTTAAAAACATTTTAACATCTATTATCATTTATATTTGCCTGGGTGAAATAATTGCTTGAATAGCTCTTATGAGCATTCAACAAAATGCCATATTCTTTCCATTCTCAGAGCATGGGAAAGAAGTTCTGCTCTGGCAAACAAAGGTCACAGTGAGCATGAGAATTTGCGGTTTATGTGCTTTCTGAATAAAAGCACTAGGGAGTTATTTTCCTGTAAGTTAAAACCAGGCATATCACTTTTTTTAATGTACAAGACAAAAATTGTAACAGGCAGAAACACAGATCTGTTTATTCCTTTCACAGCCAGAAGAGAAAGAAAGCCAAGCTTTCCAAAAGCAACATCTTGCATAATTTCTGTTGCCCTGATCATGTTCTTGGCAACCTGTGATCTGTGGAAATTCTTCTAAACGGCAAAATCAATTATTCAGTCACATAAGAATAATGATTCCAAATGCTGACATTATGTTGCTTTACTTAGTGAGGGGTTTAGAATAAACATCTTACTTGTTATTGGACTGCAGGGGTCTTAAGTAAGTAACAAGAAGAGACTGAAGTTCTTTAGCATATTCTTTTTCAGTGTCCAGGATGTTCTGTAACACCTTTGAAAAGAAAAAAAATTCAATGTATTATAATCGTCAAGATAGTAGTCTAAGGCAAATAAATGTAGCTTTAGATCCTTTAATCAAATTACTAGGAAGAAAAAAGGTCCTATTTACTCAGGCTACCATTGCAAGCAAGGAACACAAAATTTGAATGCACTTTCTTTTAATCTAGCAAACTACTTTAATAATTGCATGACAACTGGGAATACTGCACAATTCATACAAACACAATTTTTCAGTTACCCGTAACTGAAGGGGTCTTGCCATTTACACAGTATTGCTTGGTTATTTATTTCTTGTAGAGACCGGATCTCTCTATGTTGCTCAGGGTGGTCTCAAACTCCTGGTCTGGAGCAATCCTCCTGCCTCAGCCTTCCAAACTGCTGGGATTACAGGTATGAGCCCACGCCAAGCCCCACGGTACTGTTTAAAATGCTTTCGTGTGCCGTAAATCATTTTATCCTCAGGAAGTTCTCAGTTAGTTAACAAATATTCAGTATTCCTCTTTTATGGAGGAGAAAATTGAGGCCAGCTACCTTAAGACATGGAGACTAAATGTCAGTATAATTTCAGAATCACTGTGATATCAAACATCACAAGAGATTTTTGTTTATGCTTGTGACAAGACCGTTAGGGAACAAATCTGAGGATACAGTGAATTTTTAAGCAGAGTTAAAGCTAGTCTTTTATTAAAGGCAAAAGGTACTACCATGAACAATTCAAAGAACAAAGTAGGCTGAAGTGCGAGAAATTTAACAAGAGAAATAATACTGATTATTTATTATTAATCATTAAATTGACAGACTTTAATAACATAATTAAAATCATATGGGCAAAACAACCAATATGGGGGTTCACAATTTTTCTTGCCCCACCAGTCCTAGGGTCATGTCACACTCCATTTCCTAGTATCTTCTAGTGGCAAGTAAAACCTTCATTTAAGCTCTTAGAGACAACCCAGTTAACATTCTGGTATATTTTCTTTCATATATTCTAATTCATTCAACAAAATAGACTGAGTGCCTACTCTGTGCCAACTGCTGTGCTGCCCACAGGGAGTTTTTACTGTATTTGCAGAGACATTAAACAGAGAGTCACAAGACAGAGTGAAGTGTCCTTAAGAAGAAGAAGTGTATTAGCCTACCAATATGCCAGCCATATATTCACAGGACAATGCATGATGATCTGCTTTGGGAAGGTGGAATGGTCAAAACAAGTGGAGATCCTAGTAACCGTGGGCTCTCTGGGAAACAACTGGACTAGCGAGTGGTCGTACTGACTCTGGTGCTGACTGAGAGGTTGCTTCAGTTTAAAGCTTTACTTACATCATCTCAGATTATGATGTTGCACCTACTTTGGGGATCATTATGAAGATGTAGTGACACACTGTACAGAGAGGTGCTGAATAAGTGGGAAACAGACCTACCAATTTAAAGGGTTAAAAAAGGGTTTCTCAATAGCAACATTATTAACATTTCAGACCAGATAATTCTTTGTTGTGATGGAATGCCCATTTCATTGCCTTGACATTGACAAATGTCACCTGAAGGGCACTATTGCCCCCAGTTGAGAATCACTGGGTTAGAAGAACACAGGATGGCTTCAAAAGCTAGGTGTTAAATTGTGGCTCCTATACTGATGTCTACTTTCAGTTACTCTATTCCTCAGAAGCTACTCTCTAAAAGTGTAAATGCAGGGTTCTGGAGGTATTGATGTTCTCAGAAATTAACCCAGCAATGGAATAGAAATATTCCCCTCTATAGAAAATCTGAGCGTGAGAATTTAATTAGAAACCACTTTGAGATGAATGAAAATGAAAATACAACATATAAAAACTCATGGGGTGCCGTTAAGCAGTGTTTATAGAAAAGTATATATTTATACATGCCTATTTTAAAAAAGAAAAAAGGCTTTCATTTTCCAGTCTGACACATAAAGAGCTTAGAAGTCATTACTCTGTCCTAACAGGAAGTAAATAGCTAAACAAACTGAAGTAAGCCATTGTTTTCTCTTAAATCTATCATAAAGGTGAGGTAACAGGGAAAACTGCTACTCCAATAATTGGAGAAACAGACAGGCAGATAAAGAGAATCACAAAGAGAAGCCTCCACAGGAACCAGCACCAGGGTAGAAAAACTACAATGTAATTGACAGACTTCTGGGGGCTGGTATGGACAAGTCTGAGAGCTAGGAATTCCAGGGGGCCAGTATTAGGACAGCACACCCACACTGTTGTGAGTTTAAGCTCCAGGTTCTCTCAGTGAAGTTTAGAGGAAAATACTCTCATGCTTCAGGCAGAGGGAGGGAAAAAGTCACCATTTTGAATATGCCAGAGCACTCTATTCTTCTTAACAAGGTCAGCCCTCAGAAGAAACTATTTCACCAGAGCAAAACCTGTTTTCTGTCTGCTCCTTTCGTTTTGAGACAAAGTTTCACTTTTGTTGCCCAGGCCGGAGTGCAATGGTGTGATCTCCGCTCACTGTAACCCCCGGCTTCCAGGTTCAAGCAACTCTCCTGCCTCAGCCTTCCCTAGTAGCTGCAATTACAGGTGTGTGTCACCACACCTGACTAATTTTGTATTTTTATTAGAGACAAGGTTTCACCATGTTGGTCAGGCTGCTTTCAAACTCCTGACCTCAGGTGATCCACCCACCTCAGCCTTCCAAAGTGCTGGGATTACAGGCATGAACATAACCTATTTAAGTATTATCAGATACTAACTGATATGGGGGAAGATCAATAAGCAACTCCAGCCAGCTCTAGCTTTCCAAATGGGGGAAGGAAGATAACCAAACTCCAGCCCTTTCTAGTCATCCTGTCCCACCTAAGGTAGAGAACTAGGAAGCACTGGTGAAGTTCACAGTCCAGGGACACAAGCTCACTAAAAACTGAGACCTAATCATGGAAATATAGAATGCCTCCCCTCCTTCTACACCTTACCACCACATTACTAAAGGATTATTTACCACAGTTCCTTTACCCAGTACATCATGTCAGGCTTCCAACAAAAACTTATAAGGCATATTAAAAGGCAAAAAAATACAGTATAAAGAGACAAGGCAAGCATCAGAACTCAAGTCAGATAACGCAGGAATGTTAGAATTATTAGACTAGTGTTTTCAAGTAACTGTAATTAAAATACTAAGGACTCTAACAGAAAAAGTAGACAATGTGCAAGAATAGATGGATATTGTAAGCGGAGAGACAGACATTCTAAGAAAGAATCAAAAAGAAATGCTAGAGATGAAGAACACTGTAACAGAAATGAAGAATGCCTGCCCATGATGAGCTCAATAGTGGCCTGGGCATGGCTGAGGAAAGAATCTTTGAGCTTGAGAATATGTCAATAGAGACGTCTACAACCAAAAAGCAAAGAGAAAAAAGACTGAGGGAGAAAGAACAGAATATCAAAGAACTGTGGGACAATTACAAAAGGTGCAACATTCATGTTATGTGGAAATATAAGGAAAGACAAAATAATAGCAGAAATACATGAATAATGGTTGAGAATTTACTCAAAATTCGAGTCAGAAACCAAATCACAGATCCAGGAAACACAGAGAGCAAGTAGGATAAATACAAAAGAAAATTTTAAACATATGATATTAAAACTCCAGAAAATCAAAAATGAACAAAAAATTCTTGAAAGAAGCACAGGAAACAAAGAGCTTATCTACACAGTTCACATAGACGTTACATCTGACTTCTGCTCAGAAACAGTGCAAGCAAGAGGAGAGTGGAGTGAAATAGTTAAAGCATTGAGAGAAAAACCCACTAACCTTGAGTTCTGTAACTTGTAAAATTATCCTTCAAAAGTGAGGGACAAATCAAGACTTTCTCAGACAAAAATACTGAGGGAAATTGTCACCATTAGACCTGCCTTGAAAGAAATGTTAAAAGAAGTTCTTCAGAGAAGAAAAACAATATAGGTCAGAAATTTGAATCTACATAAAGAAGGAAAGAATATTAGAGAATGGATAAGCAAAGATAAAATAAAAACTTTTTTCTTATTTTTAATTGACCTAACAGATAACAGTTTATTCAAAATAATAATAGCAGAAATGTATTTGATTATGTGAGTGTATATATTAATGTGTATTTATATGTAAGTAAAATGAACGACAACAATCATACGAGGGGTGGGAGGTAATAATTAGGAATACTATGTTATTATAAAGTACTTGCACTACCTGTGAATATAGTATATATCTTTGTATAGTATTATATGGAAGTGAGCTGGGTCTAGCTATAAAGGCATAGAGCAACCACTAAAATACGGCATAGTGGTTGCATACAGCAATTATGTTTAGAGCAACATGCTCAAGTAAAACAGAAGGAGAAAAATGTGGTAGACAAAAAGCTAACAACAAAAAAGGCAACAAAGAGAAAACAGTAACAACTATGGTAGGCATTAATCCACCTATATCAATAATCCCTTTAAATGTCAGTGGTGTAAATATACCGATGAAAAGACACACATTTTCAGAGTGAATAAAAAAATACGACCCAACCAAATGCTGTTAATAAGAAATTCAAGTTAAATATAAAGACACTTATTAATTCAAAGTAAAGGCATGAAAAAGGAGATATCATGTTCATACTAATCAAAAGAAAGCTGGAGTGGGTATGTTAATTTCAGACAGAGCGAACATTAGAGCCCGAAAAATTCTCAGGAATAAAAAGAGGTATTACATTATAATAAAGAGGTCAGTTCTCCAACAAGACACAACAGTCCTTGATATGTTTGTGCCTAACAACATAATCAAAATACATGAGGCACAACTTTTATAATCGAATGAAAACTCTTCCACCAAAGTTGTGGTGGAAGCATTCTCCCTTTCAATTAATAATAAAAAAAATTAACACTGTAGTTCCTTGTCAGTGCAAATGACAATAAATTTGTTTGCTTAACCCGCTCTCATTCAAAGAACAGGTAAAAGAAAGTATATTAATAAATCTGAAAGTATATTGATATATCTAGTTCCCAACGATGACAA